CATCCAGGCCCACCACTCATGTGGCAAGAAAATGCCTACTTGCCTGGTGCCCAGAGCCCAGTCATCTGGGGTCCTCACCCTCACTGGCAAATCAATCACATAGGGCTCAGGGATGTCGATGTCATCTGATTGACAGTACTGCTTGGTGACTTGGCCTGCCACATGATTGGGATTCCTCCCAAAGTTCCCAAAGCTGGCCATGAGCTGAATGTCTGGCGCAGTTACTCCTGTCTTCACAGCTGCAAATGCTATTCTTTGCAGATCAGGTCCCTTAGCTGCACTGCCATGACAAAAAATGCATGGCCCAGCCGAAAAGCAACATGACTTGCTTCCCAGCTGCAGACATGCCACTTGCAAATTGCTCCAGAAGGCAAAGCCCTAAGGGGCTGCGCTCTTCCTTGGGCACATCCACAACTTCAGTTGCTTTCTTTCTTTTCCATTTTGCCATGGCAGGCCCTTCCACAGGTCCTTGAGCCCTTTGTCCAGGGCACAATGAAACCCTTCCCACCTGGGTGCTTGAGCCTCCACAAAGAACACACTTAGAGCCCTACCAAACAAGCTGCACAACCTCTTGCAAAGGCGACCTTTTTCTCACTGCCGGAACTGGGCCCTTTCTCAGGACACCTTGCAACCTTGTCAAATCATTGCCTTTACTGGGCCCTTTCTCAAGGCACCTTGGCATCTATTCACAACTTCTTGGCTGTTTTGATTGCCATAGCAGCATCAAACAGCTTGCCCTTGGCAGATTCTGCGTTCATCTTTGTTTTCAGGAGCTTCTTGAGGTCAGTCTCAGGGCCATGCAAGTGATCCTTCACTTTGCTTGTGCCCACCTCCTTCTTCACTGCTTGAAGCAGCTTCAGCATCTTCTCCACCCTTTTCTTGAGCTCACCTGCCACAGCACTGCTGCCCATATCACTCAAAACCTCAGCCTCAATCACTTGCTTGTCTTTCCCTTTGGATGCTTCAGCATCTTTCTTCTGCCGCTTGCTAGAGGATGCTGCATGCTCTGAGCTCTCAGAGTCAGATGGTGGAGGTGGCAGCAATGCTTTCATGTGCTTGCTGGCCTTCTGGGGCATGACATCTCTCAAGGCCTGGTCAGCTGACCCTTCCTCATTGCCAAGAAAGCCTTTGGCCTTGACTTTCATCCAATTGCACACCTCCATCTTGCCCACCTGCTCTGCAGCCACCTCATGCCTCTGCTCTGTAGCACTGTAGTCCACATTCTTGGCCAGGGCAAATTGCCATTCATCATCATCCAGAGGATCTTTTTGGACAAGAATGGTGCCCTTCTTGACCTGAAATCAAATGTGACCTGAAGTGAAATTTCCTTGCCAACATTCATCGCAAGCACAGATATAAATTCTGAGGAGGTGGCTCTGCGAAGTGTCTCTTGCAAGCCATATCTGTGCAATATGGTGGCAAAGGGCACCCATTCCAAGGATGACCTGTGGCCTACATGCAGGTGGAATCCATGAACTGTTGTCTCAAAGCCTCAAGCAAGAAAAACAGCTGCCTGAGGTCTGCTGCAAGGAGAGGACCTCCTTCTGCCAGGCTTGAGAATTCTTAAGCTCCCCTTTGGTTTGAAGGAACACCTTCAAAAGCTGCTTCTTGTGTTGGTCACTGTTTTTGCCTTTGCAGACAGTATTCCAAACTTCCTCCACTTTGGGGTCCTTGGTGGAGCCCCTGGCCCTTTCAAATTTCTTCCAGAGCGCTTCTCTCTGGTTCCTGGTAAGTGTGCCCAGGAAAGAGTTGAGGTCCTGAGTCTTTGACCTCTGGAACAACTCCATCTTTTCCTCCAAAGACATGGGCTCCTCAGGCTCTGGGTTGGCTGCAGGCCTCTTGTAAGGTGCAGCTGCCGGCTTTTTCAAGATTGTGATTTTCACCATGGCCCTTTCACAGGTCCAATCAGAAACCTTCTCAGGCCCTTTCACAGGTCCAATCAGAAACCTTGTCAGGTCCCAGACTCAAAAAGAATCAGCAAAAGCCTTTCTGCAGTTTGGCTTGTGAGCCAAAGTGGCAGGGTTGCAATCTGAGTCTTGCTGGCATCAACCTCACAAAAAAATTTGAGACCACTCCAAAAAGCATAAGTCATGTGACATCATATGATGTCATATGATGGTGGGGTGGTGTCATATGACATGTTTTTTGTGTCATATGACATGTTTTTGTGTCATATGACATTTTTCTATGTCATATGACATCATGTGACTCCATATGACTTCACCACAGTTTAGGCCACAATGGCCCAGAAATGCAAGACAGTGGACACACACACACACACTTTTTTTGTCTCCAGCCCTCTTCCTCTCCAAGAGCCCTTTTCCAAGGCCCATGAACCCATGTGCAGGGCCAACTGTTTCTCAAGGAGCCCTTTGGCAAGGCCCACAAGGTGGACCAAAAACTGCCCAAGAGCCCTTTGGCAGGGCCCATTAGCTGACCCAGAATGTCCCAGGAGCCCTTTGGCAGGGCCCAAAAGCTGAACCAAAAAGGCTGCAGAGCAAAGACAACCACCTTCAGCAATGCACACAACCTTCAACAGAACAAAGCAAACAACAACCACCTTCAACAAGGGCAGCATTTTTTCCATCCATCGGCCTTGCTCACAGGGCCCTTTTGCAGGTCCCACAGGTGAAGGGAGGTCTCATGGAGCTGGGCCCGTTCTCAGGGCACCTTTTTCTTCTTTTTTCCCCTTCTCTTCACCTCCTCCCAGTCATCACCAGAAGCATCTGGTTCTTCCTTGCACTGGGTCTGGTGGCCTGGCAGCACCACCCATGTGCAATGGCAATGGAAAACAAGAAACACTTGGCAGGCCTGAGCTGGATGCAAGCCCACTTCCTGCC